TACTCTGACGACGATACGTTTAAAGGCAGGGTTTGTAATTTCTGAAAACTAGCATGATTTTGAAAGTAGCATTCCCTCAGTGCTACGTCTGCACCCACCCCCCTCCTCTCTGTGCTCCCTCTTAAGCCACGCCCCCTCACTTACATGCACGAGCGCCGTCTCTCCAGAAGTGGACCTCAGCTCATCGCTTGCATTGTGTAGAAACTGCGTCGTCTCATGCCTCATTCAGCGGTAAGTAAACTCACAGTATGAACTCTGTCATCGGTGACATGCTTTCAGTGTGGGCTCTTGCTCACAAGAGGTGGAGTACGAGCAGGGATTCAGGGAGGCGTCTGATTGGTTCATCAGTTTGGTACCTCGTGGTTGACGTTTTTACAGACTTACAACTGCTACAAAAGACGGATTTTCTTTGTACCTTTTTCAGAGAACATGAGTTATTAATTTCTGTCAGGACCTAAACACAATTTCAACCAAAATCTTAAAAAGTGGATCTGGTGGAAATTACCAACATTGCCTTTAAATGTCCTTGCTCTGGTTAAAACAGACAGAAAGACAAATATTGATTCCATTTCCTGTGAAACTCTGAGATGACCCGAGAGTTAGTTCTCTCCCCGAAGATGACACTACACAACCTATTCACTAAAACATGCTCTGTGTTAAACTACTTATTCAGCCATACAGAAAACATCTATTCTGTGTGTGTGTGAATATCTGCAGCACGTCCTGACCCTGAAACAACACTCTGAGGCTGCTGCTGCTGCTGCTGCATTCACAGTTATATTGTCCCGTCAAACCTACAGGCCAATAGCTGCTCACGCTGAGTCTGTCATTACACAGATCAAGTGGTTATGTTTCTTCCAGTAGTGGAATTATAAAACATAGAAATGAGTCATAAAATGCAGGTAGCCTAGATACTGCAGCTCTCCAGGATATCTGCTGGCAGCGGGAGTTATTGCCTTACTGGACCGCATGCCCAGGAGGCAGCAAGACGTCTAATATGTGTGGTTGCTCCTGGCAACAGAACTGCAAAGTGCATAGGAATGTATATTAGAAAGGAGCATAATTTTTTCATATGGCAAAAGAGAAATATGTGGTTCTTGGTGTCCACTGGATGAACTAGATTGTAGAGTTCTAGAAGATACACTGTGGGGGACAAATTCACCCAGAATGGACTGAAGCCGCTAACAGCAACAATGGATTAAATGCCCCCAATGTCTGCTCTGTCTCAATGTCCTATTCTAATGACATTTAAGCGCAAACACAACCATAAAGTTTTGACTTTTGTTGCTCTAGTTTTGCGACTGATCATCTGCAACTTAAATCTCTGTTGCATGGAGCTAAACTTTGTCCACAGATTGATCATAAACTGAGGGGGGGAGACACTTTTTCTGGAATTTTTTTAGGTCTGATTTCAAAAGTGATATGAGTTTCACTGTTTTAAGCAACGTTTCTCAGACACCAAGTCTGTCTCCACATGTGGAGAAAGTGTGTGCACTTCGGACAACCCCAGACTGATTTGACCTCTCATTAAAATAATACCAGTAATACCGGAGCCATATTTAAAGACTGTTTACAGAGTATTTATTGGGTAAGAGGTGAATTTGTCCTGATCACTGGAAAGTGCAATGCAAGGGGCAGTAACCCCCAGCTGAGTGCCCTGTGTCGTCTATTTGAGTCGGTGCAGAGAGAGCAGAAGAGAGAAAGAGGCATTGCACTGATTTAATATACAGGTCTCACAACGTTAACTAGCATCACTGTCGCCTGCAGCAATTAGCGCTGATCTTTATAGATGAGTTGGTATTTGCAACGAGGCTTATTGGCATAGGAAGGGCGGCAATTTGGCACTGAACTTTTGAATATTCCCTTATAAACATACATCCAAATGGAACAGGCGCACGCAGGACGCTATGTGCTTGGCCGTGCAGTTTGCAGGCATTTCACCCTTTGTGCGTACTTCGTCGATTCAACGCTGTCTTTTTTGCTCATTTGCATATTTAGCACCCACAAAAGCAGTGTGGAATCTTATATTCTTTATACTTTTATGTTTGCTCATTAACTGATCCAATGCATTACACATAGCATTACACATATCACGTATACATGCACCGTGTCCTTATATGACCACTGCAACACACAAACCTTGCACGATACTCACCTCACCACAGGTGTTTTATCTCACGTACACAGACTCAACAACAGCTCCTTATAAGGACTATTTTTTAAACTCTCAAGGACAAGTTACTGCTACATTCACATATTTATACACTGACCACAAGGTGCTGACACAGATAAAGCTGCACCTGTTTCTTTGATCCTCCTCTGTAAGTTTCGATCACACTATATGCTCAAGTATATAAAGATTGTACGCCCCAAGAGCGGGCAGAGAACTTACTTTGTGTATCCTGTACGCATAGCTGAACTTCTCTCCATGCTGCATGTAATAAACTGGGTGACTTAGCAACTCAACAGTTTCTGAAAGTCTCTTTTATTTGCTCTCGTCCCAAGGTTCGGAGGGTTTTCTCTTTCTGCTGATTTTCTGCAGGCACAGTTCTACCACAGCAGTAATATCCTTTGTTGGATCTAAAGATGTACTTCTATTTACAGTGCAAAAGAATGTTGTCAAACTAAGGATCACAAAAATGTCAAAGGTCATGAATAGGTCAACTTTCTGTCTAACCCTGACCCTGCTCTGTCTGCCTCCCCTCGGTTCGGACTATTTTCTGCTGTTACGGCTCCCGTGTCATCCGCGGCTAGCTCTATTTTAAGAGTTTGGGTTGAAGATCTTGAATGACACACTGACATATCTCCAGTTACAGAGGCCAGGCGGTGCTGCCGTAACACTCTGGAGGCCACGCATGCTCGGCAGCCAATCAGGCATGTAAATGGAGTTTCACACTTAGCGAGCCGGTTAGCTGCGGCTGATGGCACAAAGCTGGAGCTGAAGGGGCGAATGGGAAACACGATCCAGTTCAATATTGAGTGATGAATTTTTCTGCATGACTTTTTCTTTGAGACCTTTTCAGCACTAACAATGTTCATTTTTAAATGCCATCATGAAGCTGTTTTATGAGAACGGTACCGTGTGTTAAGAGACATTTTGGATAAGTTTGATCGAGTTCCTCTTTCCATCGTGTATCTCCAGATCCGACCGACAAAGATGTAGATACGTTGGTTTTGTCCACAGCTCCTACGTTTCTTATCTGTCTCTGGGCCGGAGCAGGTCGGTGATAACGGCAGAGTAACCCGCAGATCGACTTTACTCCTATGATTAGTGTTCGGGGGGACAATATGAACTCCATGACCCCTCTGAGGATGGAGGTCACGGTCAGCGTGAGATAAAGTCACAGTCTGATTTTCAGAAATTTTTAACCTGAATGAAAAATGTCGACTGGGGTTCCACTTTTAGAGAGAGGGGATACTCAGAAGCGTTTGGAAACAATGAGTCACTACGTAGAACATTTGAATCACTTCTCTCTCTCCTGGAACATGAACATTGAATGAATTGAATTAACCACCTGCTGCTGCTGCTGTGATTGAATCATGAGGGGACTGGATTTAACATCTGACCAGCTGTCTTTGAATGGCTCCTCTCCGAGAAGGGCAGGAACTAACCAACGATCAGTCGACTTATCAGATCATGTTTTGCACAATTAACGGCTCTTATTTAGCTACCAAATGTTGAATTCAAACTCAAAATACGCCGTTAAAAATCTTAATTCAAGCCATAACTAGCCTTGACGTAAGACAGATGATGTGTAGCCTGGTTACTATAGTAACGGGAGTTTGCTCCTCTGCGTAGTGGTTGGAGTGGAGGAAGAAAAGAGATGAAAGTGAAAGGTTTGAAGGTCAGGGACTGAAAATGTAAATGAGAGAAAAAACGCTGCGTTACTGTTAAGTTGACTGTGAAAGAGCTGAAAAGAGAGACACTCAAACCGTGACGGGCTCCCAACATAAGCAAGGTCCGCTTTAAAAATGACGCTTTACAAATCTTGCAAGCGTTTTTTTTTTGTTTGTTTGTTTTTTGCAGCGTTGAGTTTGAAATTCTGTCAACTCTCTCGGACTCTTGAAGTTTTATGACTTGGTGATGTTGCCTGCGTAGATATCAGCTCTAGAGTGCACAGCGCAGACGGCACACACAGATCCTACATGGCGGTCTAAAATGCTGAGACATGCGCTGTCATGACCCCAAGTGCAGCCGCACCTATCACACGGGACCTGATGGGATTATATATAATGTGTCACCATTCATTGTGTATTTCTGGTGGAGGAAACTTTTCTCCCTCATCAGGTCCTGCATTTAAAGGTTAGGCGGTAAATAATTATTGTGGAGCGCTGGTTTGATTGAAAAGAGTCCAGTGACCAGTGACCAGTGACCAGAGGAGGTTGGCAGCACAACACCAGGAAAACTGGCCTCAGGCTGTGGACTTCACACTGAACTTTACGCTAGGCTGAGAGCTCAACTATCGTCCTTGTAGCTAGCAGGATTGCAAACTCCACAGGGAGATAACAGATGGTAAGAAAAACACAGCTGCACAGAAACTGCACGACGCTGAACACAATGGTAGACAGTTTAAACCTCTCTTCACTCTTGAAGACCCCCAAAACAGACCGTGTCTCATGTACTTACATTCCAGACTTTACAGACTTTTAGATATCCATATCTAGTGTGTGTCTTTTTGTATTTTTATCAAGATCAGAATAAAGAGCAGCTTTTTATCATTCCAACCCATCTACACATTTTGTCAATATTTTAAACTATGTTCTATACATCTGGCAGCTCTCTCTCTCTGTGTCTGAAAGTGATGAGCCACTTTTTCTCCGTCTCCTCTGAAAGAGCGTATCATAACACAACAAGGATGCGCGGCAGCTTTAAGGCGGGCTAAGAGAGCGAGTGTGCGTCCAGGAGAAGAGGCAGGCCTGGTTGATGTGAGAGCATAGCGCTGACGCTGCATGTGTGCTTCAGTATAATGATAGGCAACAGCTGGGCTCTGGTTACTTACGTCTGTGTCGGGCCCTTTATCCGCCCCGGGGCAGGAGAACGTGACGAGCTCATGGCACCTCTTGTGGACCACAAAACAGCAAACTGCAGGAGAGAACACGAGACGAGAAAGGAGATTTAAGAAGGTTTATATATACACAGACAGACAGGTGGAGGACAAGATAACACACAAAGGAGGAAATTTATTTTAAAAAGTGTATTCTCCTTGAGTAGAATAGACAGAGAGAGAGAGAGAGAGAGAGAGAGAGAGAGAGAGAGAGAGAGAGAGAGAGAGAGGGAGAGAGAGCTCTGATAACAAAACAAATGAATAAAAATTGACTGATGTCTTGGCCAGGCTTCTTATCATGTGTCCAGATGGCCGTCCTGCCTGCAGGCTGACTGCTCTTATTACTCAGTACAGTGCCACCTCCTCACTGACATGACAAACACCACAAATACACATACTCTCACACACACACACACTTTACTTTTGCATGCACAGAAAGCACTCCCAACAACAAACAACCACGTTTGCAAAGTGACACAGTAACTGACCATGGAGCACAAACAGATGCACACAGCTGAATACATCTGCACGAGCACACAGTGTCACGCTCGTGGCCAAAGTGTCAGGTCACTCAACGCAGCGCGGTGTGCAGCTAGGCGAGTCTGCAGCCGACTCAAAGTGGAGGACGGCGCCTGTGACTGGCTCTCAAAGCCGTCTGACACCAAGACGAGACAGTGAGAGAAGGAGGGGGGGACATGAAAATATAATAGATTCTCGCTGCTCAGTCTCTGAGTGTCACTTCTTCCTCAAAGATGTTAGTCAGTGTTTTTTCCACACCTCCTTCATTTGGACAGACAGAAGCATGCCTCCCCTTTCTTCAGGACTTAATGTTTTCAAGGTCGACACTTGCGGTGTGAGATGAAAGCTTCTGAATTGATGGTTTTCAACAGTTTTCAACAGTCTTCACTCAGCGCTGAGTAAGCCTGAGTAGACTCCATTAGTGGTCGTTTGTGTTGCACCAATGATACGATGGATTTTTCCCGGAACCTTGATGATGATTTTAGTGTTTCACGTCCGCTTCAGCAGTGGATTTCAGAAGTGTATAATGTATTATGTTTAGTATGTCCACTCAGTGTTAAAGTCGATACATGGAAACTACATGTATTCTGCTTCTAACCTTTGTCATAAATGACTACATTCAATAAATGTATGGTTCTTATGTTGTTGTATTCTTTTTTGTTACCAGTGTTTAATTATAGGACTATAATTACACATTAAAGGTGACATATTATGAAAGTGAAAAATCCACTTTTACAGTGTTTTTGAATATATATTTGGGTAACCTGAGGGCCAATGACACACAAAATCGGAATAAACCCATCCAGTCCTTTATTTGTGGTTTGCATAAGTCAACACAGAGAAAAATGCTCTGTTTTAAATTTGCTCTCCTTGTGACGTCACAGTGGGATTCTGGTAAAAAGCGATATTGCACTGGAGTCACAAACATAGATGTATGAATGTACGCCACTATACCGGTTAGACGTGGTAACAAAGCGAGTTTGTTCTGAGCAACACCTTCAGATGACCTTTGGAAGTTGCAAAGCGGGAGCATTCCCAACTGAACGAGTGTCATAGCTGGTAGATTATGAAGACGTAATTCATATGGTTGGCAGATGATGGATGTAAACACCTTTTGGGAGCTGAAAGGACTAAGCGAACACATGCCGGTCATTTACAAAAATCTCCATTTTCTATCTTCCATCATTGCTGTAATCTTCGGCAGAATGACTGAAGTTATAAAGATTTCACAACGGCAGCACTGTGGGAAAAATACTTCTGTATTGAAAAATGCTCCAATCAGTAGTCTGAAAAATAAAATGTAAACATAAAGCATAGTTTGACGAGATACTAGACCAGACAGAGCAAGAGTATGTTGGTATCCAAATGTAGTGATGGATAATCCATATAACCCCTCCGGATATATAACACCGCCACAGCTCAGCCCTAACACCCCTCATGTCTCCTCGAATAAGTCAATAATAAGTCAGTCAATAACCGACTTTCAACCATGACCCATAAGTCACGCAACCGCCAACATACGAAGCAGACAGCTCATCAATCTGTACTGCTTCTCAGCCTCATTGTTCATCCTACAGCCAGAGCGCTGAGAGAAGTTTCAGCCTTTCAGGACCAAAGACATAACAAAGGCTACCACAGACGTAACAGGCAGCACAGCGTGTACCAAACCTCTGAGACGTTTCTGATGATACTCACTGCATGAGATGCTCATGTCAGAGTCTGTTAATGCTCAACAACAGCAGCGGTCAACTCTGACAGAAAGGAATTCCAAAGATCTGAAAATATTTGATTTAATGAAGAAAACTCTGTTGGTGGAAAAACACTGATTGGTGACATCTTGACCAACGCTTCACTTCATCGTTACCTGTCGGAGGTTAGACATAAGAATTTGTCTGAAACTAGGGATGTGCACAGCTAGCAGAATAAATGATTAAATGATTCCTTAGCAACTTTCAGAGCAGATTTTCTGATCAAAACAATGCTCTGTTCAGACACACCTCCCTCAGCTCCCACTTCTGTCCCCTCATTTTTACAAACTTGTGTAAAGGAAGAGTTCAGTCAAAACCTGTTTGCACATAAACACTCCATCCACTATATGATGCTATAATGGGAATATTTGCCTTTTTATCAATGCTATGTGTAGTTCAGTTGAATCACAACATCAACATGAGCGGAGAACAGAAAAACATAATGCAGCCGTTTAATTACATGCACAGAGACAGAGTGGTCTTGTGCATACACTCTATGCACCGTGCACCGGTCACAGGAAATAAACGTCACCTCCCACTCGTGAAAAAGTGGCTTGAGGGGCGCAGTGGTTAGTGCGCCGGCCCCATGTAGCTCTCCAAGCGGGCGGCACAGGTTCGGATCAAACCTGTGGCTCCTCTCCCGCATGTCATTCCCCACTCTCTCTCCCTGATTTCCAACTCTATCCACTGTCCTATCTCTCCATTAAATGCACAAAAAGCACAAAAATGTGTATATATATATATAAATATATAAAAGTGACTTGAGGTGAATTCTACTAAATCTTGCTGTCTTTCTCACATCAGCTCACTTGGACTTGCTGCGGAAAAATACCAGGAGGCAGGCAGGAATAAACTCCGGGTGAAGTCTGAAAAATGTTCTGCAAGTGTGAAAGCCCTAAAAGATAGGCACTGACTAAAGTCAACAGAAATTACATTTGTGTTGCAAAAATGAGCAAATTCAGCATTTAAAGCCAGGCATTTATATGTGTGGTGAGGGCGTTGTAGGCGCAAAGAGCAAAAGAAGGTGATGCAGGGTGGATGTCAGCTGCAGAAAGGGAGAGGTAGCAGGAGGATACATGGACCCAGAGGGGCTCTATGTGCAGATGATGACCCTCCTGTTTACCACTTGGCCTGCAGCTCGAGTTTAATTGGTCAATTTCTAACGTTTTCTGGCTGGGACAACAATTTCCTGTGACATGATCGCAGTTAAATTAGTATTTTCTCCAAAGATCTCTTTAAGGGGCCTCGCTTGCTTGTTAAGAATATGTAAGAGAAAAAAAAAAAGATTTAAAGGAAGAAGGAGGTTTGAATGTGAGCTAGACTCAGAGTGAGATAAAGAGGCAGGTCAGCGGAGGCCTCAGATGAAGGCGGTCGAAACTGGTCGACTTCTGCTGGTCTCATTAGAGCTCAGCTGGCTGTGATCAGTCGTCCCTGCAGTCGTGTTTGGAAATCAACACGTACATCACCTCTGACACCATGTCCATTAGGTGGCAACCGCTGCAGGCTAACATCACAATAACTGTAAGACCCCCACAGAATAACGCACTGTGTTTTTACAGTGTTTAGTTTTTATTAGTCGATGAATCAAGTATTTTTTTTATCTTTGCAAAGCATTAAGAAGCTACCGAGCTGCTATAAAAAAAAAAGGCAGAATGAGAAGAAAAGCGTCAGGGTGGTCAGTTTCTAAGAGGAGCTGTTGCTTATTGAAGCTATTAGATTCAAACTGGGACTTTGGGGACAAACAATTCAGTCTAAAGCAATTAAAGATGAGACATGTTTCTTCCATCCTGAAAGAAATCTCATTTCAACAGCCACCTTAAAGTTTCTTTTTTAGATAACTGGTAATATTTGTCCACCTCTGACCTAATAATCTCCTCACGCTCTGCATGTGAGAGGGGTCTCAAATCAATACTTATTACCTTACCGCACAACAGACACAGAAAAATCGCTTTTATAAGCCCAAAGACCTTCTTTTATTCCCACCAAGGCAGATCATTTAATTCTCTCAGGTTCCAGTATTCACTGCATGGCATCAATGTCCTGAAGTCTCCCTTGATTACAGGTGGGAAATGAGGAAAAAGGGGATGATTTAATCTGACCGTTCTCAGTTTGGAGGTGTAATTTATGTCCCCTCTTGTACAAAGCAACTGTGTTGAAGAGAGCTTTTGGATTGAAGGCACTGCAGCCCGCTGCGATTCCCCTGACAAAAGATCATCAGCCATTAATCCCCGTGGTTCTTTTCTAGACTGTCCAAGCAATGACTGAGAGGCCATGAAGGAAGAGATGAAATCATTCAAAGGAACACATTTAGATCCCCAGGGGACAAAACGGGAAATGGAAAGAGCTTTGACAAAGGATTGTAATCCCTGTTTGAAATTGTTCAATTTCTTCCAGATACTCGTTTTAAAGAGGTCATATTATGCCCTTTTTGGGGTTCGTATATTTAATCTATGTACCTACTAAAGTATGTTCACAATAGCTAAAGTTCGAAAAAAGTGTCTGTTTTCATGTACTGCTGCTCCTCGCTTCTGACTCTCTCTCTAAGGCTCTAAAGTGTCCACGTTCAGAGTCCCCACTTGTGCCAAGTCTGATCTTATTGGTCGGCCTGTTGGCTCTGCCGTAATTGGTCAGTCGCTCTGCAATGGAAATGTCACGCCCCTTTTACCATATTGGGAATGCAGCCACTTTGGCTCAGAGGGGAGCAAAAACATTAGCACCTTAGCACTACTGTGCTACCGCAGGCTACGGCATATCGTGTGCATGCTACAGAA